CTGCTGTGCCCCCCCCCCACATTCCCTCCACGCCCCCCACTGTGTCCACACCGTGACACTGCTGTGCCCGCACTGCTGTGCCATCCACCGCAGGCCCCCATGCCCATCACCGTGCCCACACGATGTCCCCACCGTGCCCCCACCACCACACGGACCACGGGTGTTTGGGCCTTGGCCACCCAGACAAAGCCCACTCATGCCCTGGTGGCACCACAGGCTGAGGGGCACAGGCTGGCAGGGGTGGGGGAAGGCTGACAAAGCCACGGGCAACTGCCCTGGCACCCTGCTCTGGTGCTGTGGGGCCAGCGGGCATCTCCCTGTCACCTCCTGTGTGCAGGTGGCAGCCAGGATGCCAAGGTGAGGGGCTTGGCTGCTGGCACTCTGGAGACCCTGGTGCCTCCCTGGGCTGTCCCCAGCACCCAAGTGGGCAGCACCACCTCACTCTGTACGTGCCACTGCCCATGTCCCCCCACCTGCATCCTCCCTCCATCCTGGAGATGCCACTGTCACCCCGGAGCAGCCTGACATGGGGGCCCCACCATGGGGCGATGGGGGGTCACCAGGGACAGGACTGTCCCAGCCCGACTGCCTGCTGCAGCCAAACCCCCACACAGGGCGGGCATCCAGTGCCACCACGACAAGGACAGTGTCACCCGGGGGGTGTCACCGGCACAAGTGGGTGGCTGGGGGACAGCCCCAGGGGCAGGGTGCCCTCACCCGGATGACGTAGCGGGAGGTGTTCCTCTCGTCCAGGCTGACGGTGAGGGAGAAGAGCACGGCAGCGCTGTAGACCCCCTGAGTCTTGTAGAGCAGCTCGTTGAGGTCCCCGCGGCCCGGGGGGGCATCCCAGCCCCCACACTCCCCGATGACCTCCAGCATGGGCCGCGGGCCCAGACGGTCAATCTCAGCCCGGTCCAGGCACGAGCGGAAAAACTCCTTGACCTTTCTCTCGGCCGAGGCGGGGGCTCGGCGCCGCACGGGGCGGCTCAGCAGTGCCCGCAGCTTGGCCTCGTTCTGCTCGGCGATGGCCCCGATGGTGCCGTACACCAGCTTGTCCTCGGGAATGCCGTGGCGCCGGAGCCAGCCGCCGCAGGCGAAGGAGTAGAAGTCCTGGCAGGGATCGATGGTGGCGTCCATGTTGGCGCTGAGGAAGCGGGACGCCCGCAGGAAGGCCTTCTTCTCCTGGCACCCCTCCAGGCAGTAGCTGTCCCCTTCAGCCGCCAGGTACTTGAGGACCAACATGCACGTCAAGATGACGCAGAGCCCCGCAGCAAACACCAGCCCCGAGAGCAGGCAGACCTCCCGGCGGCTCCAGCGCGGCAGCCCCCCGCGGCGTTTCTTGGCCCCAGTGCCCAGCTGGAGGGCGAAGCCGTTGGGCAGGGTGCCGCTCTGGTACTTGCTCACGTACTTCACCTCCTGAAACTCATCGTAGTGGGCCGTCAATGAGTAGGTCTTCTCCATGGCTGGAGTTGGGGGTCCCCACAGGCAGTGTGGGTGTGAGGGGCTCAAGGCAGGTGGGGGGCAAGCTTGGGCACCCCACGACTCATGCTGGAGCCGTGCCCACCGCGGGGAGATGGTGGAGGGTGCCTGGGTGAGGCGGGAAGCTCCTGGAAAAGGCAGAGAAGGTGGTTGAGGGGGGGTTGGGGAGGAGCAAGGGGGGGGAGGGGGGGGATTGCTTCTTGCCGTCATCGCTGCCTGCATCGCCATTCCTGCCTGAGTGCCCCACTGGTGGCACGGGGACTGGCCCTGGTGCCAGGAGCTCGGTGGCAGCTCTACCCCATGGCTGTCCCCTCCGCCAGCCCCACTGGTGACAGGGCAGGGTCCTGCCTGCACGGCCCCAGGCAGGTTTCAGCCCCTGGCACAGCTCCATCCCATGCACCCACAGACCCCCCACGCCCACCCAGTGCACGGGCAAGAGCACCCACATCGGGTTGATGGCCGAGGTGGTCCAGTGAGCACATCCTCACCCCACACCGTGAGACCCCTTCCCACCCTGAGGGGGCACAGGGCTGCCAGCCCCTCGGGGTGGGGTATAGAGGGCGGTGAGCAACTTGGGGCAGAGGGGCTTTGGGGAGATGTGGGAGGGGGAAGGCGTTGGGTTGGGGCGTTGCGGGCTGGGCAGGTTGTGTGGCCCTGCGTCAGGTTGCATCGCGTTGCGCCGTGGCGCGTGGCGTTGCATTGTGTTGGGTTGGGTCGTGGTGCGCCGTGTTGCATTGCGTTGTGTCCGATTGTGGTGCGGCACGAGATGTGTGTGCAAAGTTAATTCCAGTCGGGGGG